GTCTCTGTGGGTCTCTATGGGTCTCTATGGGTCTCTATGGGTGTCTGTGGGTCTCTATGGGTCTCTATGGGTCTCCGTGGGTCTCTCTAGGGGCTCACGATATGGCAACAATCGCACCTTTGGGCCTCCTGCCCTCAATCCCCCCGCTCGTGAACGAGGAGGAGGACACGGCCAACATGGGTCCGGTGCCGATGAGATCGTGACGAATGGCGACAACAACAACGATAACAACTCAACGAGCTAAAAACAATCAACCACCGTCATCGTCGCCACGTCGGCGCCCTACGGAGGCACTCTGGGCGAGGCTGCTCAAGCAAATCCACCACCGCAAGCCTCCATCACCCTCCACAGGAGAGGTCCACGGTCTTTTTTGTAACCTCCCCCCCCCCCCGACCACCACACCTCCCGCCATCGACCGCCCCAAAAAGTCTTGCAACGTGATTGGTCAGGATGGCGGTGGTTGCCGGGACAACGGTTGTCGGGACGACGGTTGTCGGGACGACGGTTGCCGGGACGACGGTTTCCGGGACGACGGTTGTCGGGACGACGGTTGTCGGGACGACGGTTGCCGGGACGACGGTTGTTGGCAGAGGACGAACGGCCGAAACCGTCGGTGGTGCCGCCATTGAAGAAGCGCCAACCAACCAGTGAGGTCACTTTGAGTCTCCGTGAGTCTCTGTGGGTCTCTGTGAGTCTCTGTGAGTCTCTGTGAGTCTCTGTGGGTCTCTGTGAGTCTCTGTGAGTCTCTGTGAGTCTCTGTGGGTCTCTGTGTATCTCTGTGAGTCTCTGTGTATCTCTATGAGTCTCTGTGTATCTCTGTGGGTCTCCATGCATCTCTGTGGGTCTCTGTGTATCTATGTGGGTCCCTGTGTATCTATGTGAGTCTCTGTGTATCTCTGTGAGTTTCTGTGTATCTCTGTGGGTCTCTGTGTATCTCTGTGAGTCTCCATGCATCTCTGAGTCTCTGTGTATCTCTGTGAGTCTCTGTGTATATCTGTGGGTCTCTGTGAGTCTCTGTGTATCTCTGTGGGTCTCCATGCATCTCTGTGTGTCTCTGTGTATCTCTGTGAGTCTCTGTGTATCTCTATGGGTCTCTGTGTATCTCTGTGTGTCTCTGTGTATCTCTGTGAGTCTCTGTGTATCTCTATGGGTCTCTGTGTATCTCTGTGTGTCTCTGTGGGTCTCTGTGAGTCTCTGTGTATCTCTGTGAGTCTCTGTGTATCTCTGTGGGTCTCCATGCATCTCTGTGTGTCTCTGAGTATCTCTGTGAGTCTCTGTGTATCTCTATGGGTCTCTGTGTATCTCTGTGTGTCTCTGTGGGTCTCTGTGAGTCTCTGTGTATCTCTGTGAGTCTCCATGTATCTCTCTGAGTCCCTGTGTATATATGTGGGTATCTGTGTATCTCTGTGAGTCTCCATGTATCTCTGTGAGTCTCTGTGTATCTCTGTGAGTCTCTATCTGTTTCCACGAGTCTCCATATGGTCCATAGTGTGTGTGTTGCCTGGCCACAACCACACCACTGATCTTTGTCTCGCTTTCACATTTATTAATCCAGAAGTGATCTGACTTGGGCAGTGATCACACCCAGGAAGTGACAATATTCAGGAAGTGATCACATTCAGGAAGTGATCACATTAAGAAAGTGATCACATTCAGAAAGTGATCACATTCAGAAAGTAATCACATTCAGAAAGTGATCACATTCAGGAGGCCCACGGACTCACAGAGACCCATAGACTCATGACACAGAGGCCCACAGACTCATGACACAGAGACCCATAGACTCATGACACAGAGACCCATAGACTCACACAGAGACCCATAGACTCATGACACAGAGGTCCACAGACTCATGACACAGAGACTCATAGATTCACACAGAGACCCATAGACTCACACAGAGACCCATAAACTCATGACACAGAGACCCATAGACTCACACAGAGACCCATAAACTCACACAGAGACCCATAGACTCATGACACAGAGACCCATAGACTCATGACACAGAGACCCATAGACTCACACAGAGACCCATAGACTCACACAGAGACCCATAGACTCATGACACAGAGACCCATAGACTCGCACAGAGACCCATAGACTCACACAGAGACCCATATACTCACACAGAGACCCATAGACTCATGACACAGAGACCCATAGACTCACACAGAGACCCACAGACTCATGACACAGAGACCCATAGACTCACATAGAGACCCATAGACTCATGACACAGAGACCCATAGACTTGCACAGAGACCCATAGACTGACACAGAGACCCACAGACTCATGACACAGAGACCCACAGACTCACACAGAGACCCATAGACTCACACAGAGACTCATAAACTCATGACACAGAGACCCATAGACTCACACAGAGACTCATAGACTCACACAGAGACCCATAGACTCGCACAGAGACCCATAGACTCATGACACAGAGACCCATAGACTCGCACAGAGACCCATAGACTGACACAGAGACCCACAGACTCATGACACAAAGACCCATAGACTCATGACACAGAGACCCATAGACTCACACAGAGACCCATAGACTCATGACACAGAGACCCATAGACTCATGACACAGATACCCACAGACTCATGACACAGAGACCCATAGACTCGCACAGAGACCCATAGACTCATGATACAGAGACCCACAGACTCATGACACAGAGACCCATATACTCGCACAGAGAACCATGTGTTGGGCTGAGCGGGGCGGGGGGCATCTTTTCACAGTGACTCCTACTCCCGCACCACAGCGTAACAATCATGGGTGGTCGGGGTAGTGTAGCGGGTAGCGCTACGCTGCGCTACGAACCCGGCGACCCAGGTTCGATTCCCGCTCACGGCCAACACCGCCAGTGACGATTATTAGAACCGGTCCTGGACCTCCCCTAGGTCGACTCAGCCTCTAATGAGTAGCTGGTGCAGCAGTGTGTAGTGAACATCGCCGCTGGGGAGACAAAGGCGGCCGGGCGTGGTGCTGGCCACCCACCCCATCGTGTGTCTCAGTGCCAGTAGCATTCACAGGTGCTGCTGCTACTCGCTACTCACAGCACTTGCCCCTACAGTCTGTTAAGGCTACACGGGGGAGCTTTGTCTTTGCCTTCCCCCCCTCCGATGGCGAAAGCTACGAGGAGTTTGGGGAGCACCCCTTGACAACCAGATTTGTTTTCAACAACAGTTGTACAAACAACAACAACAACAACCACCAGCAGCTACGTAACAATGACGTGGCTTAGGGCAAGTGGAGATGTATGATAATGATGATGGCCTCTTCTCTCGGTGCGACGAATCGTAAATATTTGAGAGTCCCTAAACTCAACCGATTGCCGCACCCCTATCCAGAGCAGATGAAGTCACCACGAGCTCACTGCGCCTCCTCCACCTCCTCCACCCCATCCACCTCCTCACCCTCCTCCTCCCCATCCACCCTCTTCCATCCTCCTCCACATCCACCTCCACCCCATCACCCCCCTCCTCCTCCTCATCCTCCTCCACCCTCCTCCCCATCCACCTCCACTCCCTCCACCCTCCTCCACCCCATCCACCATCCTCCTCCACCCCATCCACCATCCTCCTCCACCCCATCCTCCATCCTCCTCCTCATCCTTCTCCAACTCCTTCCCCTTCTCCACCCTCTCCATCTCCCTCCATCTCCACCCAACCATCCACCTCCACTCCCTCCACCCTCCTCCACCCCATCCTCCACCCTCCTCCACCCCATCCACCATCCTACTCCACCCCATCCACCATCCTCCTCCACCCCATCCACCATCCTACTCGTCATCCACCTCCACTCCCTCCATCCTCTTCCACCCCATCCACCATCCTGCTCCATCCCATCCTCCTCCACCCCATCCTCCTCCCGCGAGAGTAAGAGAGAGGGAGAGAAACACCACGGGGGGGCACGGTAAGAGTGGAAGAAGAAGACAACGACATTGTTGTTGTTGTTGTCGCTGTTGCTGAAGTTGTCGCTGTTAGATGATGGCGTTGTTGTTGTTGATGATCATGTTGTTGTCGTCGTTGTTGATGTCGTTGTTGATGTCGTTGTTGATGAAGTTGTCGTTGTTAGATGACGATGTTGTTGTTGATGATCATGTTGTTGTTGTTGATGCAGCGTGCGTGCAGGCGACGAAAAATAAACAACCCCGAGATAAAACGGAGGTGGGAGTGACCGAGACCCCCCCCCACCTTCCCTATCTGACCCCTGACCCTACGATCCCCCGCGACCCTATGACCCGATCTCATCACCCAAACCCCTCCCACCCCACCCCCCAGAGTTGTACAAGTCTCAGTGGTGGCACCCACCCACTCAGCCACCCACCCACCCTCCCCACCCTCCCCACCACCAACTCCTCTTCTCCCAGTGCCGCTGGCTTCTCGCTTCGCATTCACCGCACCCCCCCCCCACCACATCCTGCTTTGTCTTCCCTCCCGTCCATTCCACCACCTCCGCCACCACCATCTCCACCATGGCCACGACCTCCGTGGCCTCCGCCACCTCCATCGCCTCCGCCACTTCCACCGTCTTCACCATCACCCATCGCGTCCACCACCGCCACCACCACCACCATCCCCACCACCACCATCGTCTCCACCACCTCCACCGTGACCTCCGTGACCTCTACCATCACCATCGCCTCCGCCACCTCCACCATTTTCACCATCACCCATCGCGTCCACCACCACCACCGTCTCCACCACAGCCACGACCTCCGTGACCTCCACCATCACCGTCGCCCCCATCACCTCCGCCACCTCCACCGTCTTCACCATCACCCATCGTGTCCACCGCCACCGCCACCGTCTCCACCACCTCCACCGTGACCTCCGTGACCTCCACAATCACCATCGCCTCCGCCACCTCCACCGTCTTCACCATCACCCATCGCGTCCACCGTCTCCACCACCACCACAGTCTCCACCACCTCCGCCGTGACCTCCACCACCATCGCCGCCCGCCCCCCCGCCCGGCTCAGACGCGCGTGGTCGAGCGCGAGTGCGGCAGCGTGCCGCTGCTGAACGCCGCCCCGGACATTGCGGGCAGGGGCTGCCCGGCGGCTCCCACTCCGCCCCCCCCGAACGGAGCGCCGCTCCCGAACGCCAGCAGCTGCTGCTGGAAATGCGCGTTCTGCAGCGAGGACGACCCTCCACCTCCTCCTCCACCTCCTCCACCGCCTCCTCCCCCGCCGCCTTGCCCGCCCGGGGAGCCGAGGCCCACCAGCGCGTTGGGCACCATCGTGATGGCGCCGGGCGCCATGAGCGGGACGTCATCCGGCGAGCGTCGCAGCGCCAGCGTGTAGTCGGGTGGGAAGTCGCCGTACGACGCCAGCGTCGGCTCGTCGCACGGCCCGCCGCCCCCGTTGGAGCCGAGGCCGCTGCCGAGGCCGCCGCCGAGGCCGCTGAGGCCGCCGCCGCGGTCTCCGTGTTTCAGCTGCAGGGCCATCAACTCGTCGGCCGCGTGGCCCACCTCGTTGCCATGCTGCGGGCTGTGCAGGCGGCCACCGCCGATGATGCCGATGCCGATTCCTCCCCCGCCGATTCCTCCTCCTCCGCCGCCTCCGCCGCCGCCGCGAAGCAGCAACTGCTGCTGCTGCCCGAGGTGCTGGTGGTGCACGTGGTGCTGCTGCGGCTGGTGGAGCTGGTGGTGGTGGTGGTGGCCGTTGCCGCCGCCGCCGCCGCCGTTGTTGTTGTTGTTGTGGCCCACCACGAAGCGCTTGTCCCGGCGGTAGTAGAGGGCGGCGAAGGCGAGGATGTTGAGGAAGAGCAGCGAGGCGCCCACCGC